TACCATTGATGTACCATTGACATGCTGTATTTTCCAACATTATGTGGTGATATTGCAATCAACAAATTGGTGCAACACTGAATGTATGTGGTGATTGTCGAGTATCGAGTTCATCTAGTTGTTTCTTGGTGTTTTCAATATCTATAAGCATCTTGTTCATAATTCCAATGTATGTGTTGTGTGTCAATGGTCTTGTTGCTCATAATGTGTATTTGCTATTAGGTTATCAACTGTTGGTAGTGTTGCTTGTGGATATATGACGACATATTGATGTTGTATATAGTTTGGATGAATATCACAAAAGTCAAAGATAAGCGTGAAAAAATGAACCAATATGTTGATTGTGTTGTTTAATAGAGTAAAAGGTTGACCCTTTTATAAAAATAATGACAGTTATGCGTATCCGTGATTTAAACAACATAACTGATAAAGTTCCTTGTTACCCTATAGTTATTGCATAAAAGGTGGCGATAGTCATTGCATCAAACAGTTATGCGTTGCGTATGGATCCTGATTCGTTTTATATTAATTGCCTAATATGTCTCACATTACCAATGTCCAACATTTTCAGGTACGACTACTTGATCAGTTGTAGTTATGGTTTCCTTCTGCGAATAAATGTGCCACTTGAACCTGAAGTACTTGGTTGTTCAGGCAATCTAACACTATGCATCAAATTGGTGATCAATATATCAATCAACACATACACACATCAATATCAAACAACTTACTGTGATGGTGACCAGAGCACTTGATCACCGTTCGAGATAGTAGGATATTTGCTAGTCGAGACTTTGCATCCACATCCAGCACCAAACCCAATGCGTTTATGTGCGCGATCAAATGTCAATCCAAGTCGGGTCATAAATGGTATACCAAGAACTGCATAATCATTTGAACCAGCTTTTATAGCAAATCTAACTATAATCCAACATGTACATTAGTCAGGTTAATCAAACAACACATATTGCATACAATTGTCAAATATTTACAATTTTTAGAATCAACTCTCTGTATATAGTCTCGAGGACCCAATTTGATTGTTACAACGGAGTTGAGATTGGCATCAGTTACTGGGTTTTGAGCAAACATTGTAATTGAAAGCGTTGGCAGCTTGCCTCAATCGATATCAAAACCGGATTCAAGCATTGCGTAGTTTTGCGAAAATATTTTTTTAACCATTACTTTTCCGAGTTTGTCACTAAATATATTAATGTTGACAGTGATCGCACCACTATCAAGAATAGCATCAACCAACGCTGCCACGACTACTTCAGGAAAACGCATATGTAAAAAGCATGTTTCCACACTCGAGTACAAAATACGTCCATTTTCCATTATTGTTTTTTGGAATTCCTCGGGCAGATTCACTTTTTCGTCATTGACTAGTATGCTCTTGATGTTGATGGCAAAGTGATTGTCTGATGGTGATTGTACCCATGCAATACTTGTTCCATCTGTCCCGCATTTTGCAGTTACGTCCGTGTTTCCTATATTGATGAAGCTATTTGAAGTCATTTCATACGGACATAGTTGAAGACCAATCTCGTTACTGGGGATGACATCACTGGTGTACAAAATATCCATTGCAGTGGTTTGTGGATGATGTTTTGACAACGAGGGATAGGCAAAGCCAAATACTCCATCAAACTCTGGATTGATACCAACCGAATCTGGTGATTGTTTTTCAACTGCTATTACTGGTAAATTGATGTCAGTTATCCTAGTACCTGAAATCTTCACAACGGCTGTGGAACTAAACCCACTATACTCATCGCCTTTGTAATCTATAGTAACGGGCTCTCCACTTGGAGTGTGTTGTGGAGTCAAACTCACATCGTCATTTGAACTAGAAAGTGGTACGACTATATCAGACATTGTTGAATCGACTTGCAAACCCAACTATTTTAAACAAGTGTGAGATTGATTCAACGTGGTACAAATTGATATCAAACTACAATGCATGTCATGATACATACATCAACTCCATCAACATTGACTTTAATTGTGTAGCATTTTGTGATATCACCACCCAATTCAACGGGTGATCGTTTTGACAGCCTATTGCTTGATTGACTGTCAATTCCAACTGGTGGATGTAATGCAAGTCGAACTGCAGCAACCGCTGGTAACGCAAGTATAA